TTGTATATATATCTTAAAATTAATTATTTTTAATTATTAAAAAATATAATTTATCCAAGTAAAAGAATAATTTGGTAAGAATGGATGAGAATGTCTAAACAACTTAGAAATATTTTTTTTTTTCCAAAAAAAGATGTTTTTATGCTGCCCTTCTCGATTATACTCGGTTTACTCACTGAATTTTTGGTTTCTAAACCTAGTAATCAAAAATTGAATGATTACAGTTGATTCAATTTGCATTTAAATTTAGAAAATTGAAAAAACAACAATCTTGACTATCAATTATGATTTCAGTCAGGTTCAAAAGAACTTTTGGATTATTCCCCTCCTAAATCCTAATTGTTGGGGTTTTTAAATTTTTTATTAGCGGGAACCTCTCTCCTATGATCCCATCGGTTGACCCATACACTCATAAAACTTTCACTTTAGGTTAATTGTTGTTATTGGATATTGGTGGTAGTAGCTAACATTGCATCTGAGTTGGCAATTGGATAAAATTTTTCTGGTAATTTTATAAAGTAATTTCATCTAATTGAGAAGTTTTCAATTTTCATATTTATGTAAGTATTATTTAAAAGTAAGTTTACAAAAGCTAAAACTTAAAACACACAGATAAATAGAACTAGGAGGAATAAGCCATTTTTATATCCAGTCTTGGGTTTTCTGGGGAATTATTTTCTTGTGTTGAGGTAAGGTAACTGCAAATTTGGTTTGATCAAAAAAAAAAAATGTAAGAAATTGTGAAATGTAATTATTATTAAGATATAACTAATCAAACACATTATTGAAATTGATTTCCTTCAGGGCTGTTAGTTGGCCATAGAACTAGAAAGATCCGTTTCAGCTGTATCATATCAATGTTATTTGTATTTTTTAAAAAGGGAAGATATCCCATATTACTAAATATTTTCAATAATAGACATCATAGTTGTACATTCTTAAAGAAATTAAATTCTTAACTAGTAAGTTGTGAAATAACTATTTTAAATACTATTCATAACTTTTTTTTCCCACAATTTGAGTTCCTAAATTAGTTAAAGTGTTTTAAAAAATTACAGTAATTTTTTAAAATGAATTGAATAATGCTCTATCCATGATAAAAGTTTTTTTAAAAAATTTTAAATATGTTTTAAAATAATAATAATTTTTTATATTTTAAGAAAAATAAATTTTTTACTTAAACTTTATAATTATCTGTCAACTTTAATTATTTATTATCTAATAGATTATTTAATTAAATTAATTTATTTATTAGAGTAAAATAAATAAAAATAAAAATTATTCTCAAATTCTTAATTAAAAAGTAAAATAAAAAATATCTATTATTTTATAACTGAATGAGAATACCTTTTATTACCAATAAATCCAATCTTTGTACTAATATTTAATAGTATTGATATAATTCCTATTTTATGTAGTCAATTTTCTAGTAAACTTTGGATAAAGACTATTATCCATATAAAATGATCTAAAATTGCAAAAAATTGGTTCACAATTTCTCTTTTCTCACTTGGATGGTTACAATTATGTTGAGTTTTTTTTACATAAAAATCAACTAAATTATTTTGATTTTGAAGAAAAAGAGATGTATCACTTTTGAGTTGTGTGACAAGGAAAGAATGCCGGGATCGTGTGGTTCGTGAAGGGATAAGGAAAAAGAGAGCAAGAAGACAATGGCATATGTCTACGAAAGGGAAAGGGAAATGATTGATATATATTTTAATTTAATATATTTATTAATATTTATTAATTTAATAATTTAATTTTTTTATTATTATAAATTTTAAATATAAAATAATATTTTTAATAAATATATTATAAAATATATTAAATTAAAAAATATACTAATTACTGTCTTTTTTATAAAAAGTGAAAAATAAATAAAACAGACAACACATCACGGGCATTACGATTTGATAAGAGACATGAAATATAAGTCCTTTGTCTTTGTATCAAGCCTGTCAAACATGTGGGTCTTCTTTCAACTAAGCATGTGAAGGATAGGAACAAACTTCCTAATTGCAGTAATGGGTAAACTCGTAAACCAAATACTTTGTCAATAAAAAATTATTAATTGCAGACTTGCACTCTAGCTAATGTGTAATTTTTCTTGATTCTTTTAATTTTTGTTTAAAACTCCTGTCTTTAATTATCAACTTTTTTTTTTTTTAATTTTAGTTACACAATAAAAAATAATAATATCATATCATTTATCTCATTTTATCCGTATACCATGCGATTTGAACTCATAATCTCTCACTTTCAACAAAAATAAATTATCACTGAATTACTTATGTCATTGATTTAATTATCAACTATTGAATAAAGTAATTAAAGTGTATTACTTTTTAATATATAGTGATTAAGGATTAAATCTTAAATCTCTATAACTAAGAACATGTGACTTTGCCACCAAAACTATGGCTGGTGGTGATTTAAATACACTATATACCCTAGATATTGAAGTGTTTGGAGTGATCTCCTGACTGATATTGATCGTATCATATGGTGGCAGTATAGAATGGGCAACAGTTCGAAGTTTTTTTTTTTTTTTTTGAACAATAACAGTTCTAAGTATTTAAAATTTAGAAAAGTATTACACAATATAAATTTTATTTAATTACATACTTTAAATTATTGAATGAGAAGCATATCTTTTTAATATTAAAAAATAAAAATATTGTAATTATAATATTACATAATATTATAAATTTAAAACATAATATCTTATAATATTATTAATTTTTGTTAAAAAAATCTACCAAACATATTATATATATACTCATTTAATATTTTATTATAATTATAAATTTATAATATTATATGACATTATAATTATAATATTATTAATTTAAAAATATCTTTACATCTAAGAATTTTCATTTTATAAAATTGTAAATAAGGAAACTTTTAATATTTTTTTTATAATTAATGACTTAGATAACTCAGTAATTATTTCATTTCATTAAAAGTAAGAGGTTTTAAATTCAAATTATATGACATGTAAATAAAATAAAATAAAAATAATTACTTTATATAATACAATCAAAATAAAAAATATATATATTCATGATTTGGGGATGAAGGGCAATTTGGAATCTTTGGATTGATGCATATTCACGGATGCGGATCATTTTCAGGAAAAACCAAATATCCAATGGTATCTACTTATATGCCACTTTAGGAACCGCAAGATCTGAAGGCAAGAGCCGCAAGACAGAGAACAAAGAACATGGACAAGAAAACAAAAAAATGCACTGGAATATATGATAAGCGCGTTGTATGTAAACTTTTAACTGTACATAAAATGGTTTTTGTGGACCCATTAATCTTGTAATAGTAATATATTTCTTCTTTTTAGGTAAAATTTTCTAGTTTAGCACGTAAAGTAACATATAATTTGATCCGGCATATAAGGGAATCGTGCCTTTCTGGATTGGGACTTCTCCCTACCGTTCAAGCTTCAAAGACAACATCATCTTGTCTACGGGTGAGACATAATTTAATATTACGCCATATATAATAGGATTGTGTTTTCTTGTTACCATCATTTTTTTGAATATATATTGTTGGTTGTTTTTTTTTTTTTTTTTTTAAATAATAAATATTTTAATTTTAATTTATTATTTATTTTTAAAAAATAAATATTTTTATATAAATTTACAATTATTTTTTAACTTTAATAATTTATTATTTTATTAAAATATTTTTTATTATTTATTTTTAAAAATAAAATAAAATAAACATAAAAATTGTTTTATTTTTAAATTTAAAAATTAAGTAAAAAATGTCAACCATTTAAGTAGTTCAGTGATCAATTTTTTTTTTTTGTTAAAAATAAAAAATCTTAAGTTTAAGTCACATAATATATAAGTGAAATGAGATAAAAAATA